TTTTCAGGTGGATTATTATTAGGAGAAGGCTCCAACATAAATATCAAAGGTGCTGTACACCAAACTAGGTCTAGAATTTCTCACTACCACGATAACCATCTTCAAGCCAGCTGGGTGGCCGGAAAAATAATAAATCTGATCCATGCAGAGCAGATGACCTGGAATGTCTCATTACTCAGAGGTGAGTGCAGGATCCAGTTGACTAAATCTGCATGGCATCCTAGAAGTTTGCTCTTCTCCTTAGTCTGTACTCATCAACGTTTGCAGTTCTTTGGGACTGCATCACTGGACTGTCTTTTTCTTCCCCTACAATTTCTCCTTTCCATCTACCACTCTGAATTCAAAAGATTTTCTTTTTGCCAGCTTGGGGAATTCCTTTGTCCTGTCTACCTTCTGAGGCTACTTTGTCCCTTTCATCATATTCAGGGCCCTTTGTGCCCAGAGCCGCAGGGTGCTCAACAACCTGAATTAGGCTGGCAGCGATGAAGTGGGTGTCCATACTGAGCTTGGCACAAAGTTATGCTGGTACTAGCAAAGTAATAAAGCATATTTCCAATTATTAAAGGTGGTTGATTACACTAGACTCTAAATTTGAATTCTAACCAGGAAGAACATACAGAAGTGTTTCTACTTAATTCCCCAGTGCATAAAGTGTTCAGATGTTCACAGTTCAAATGATCATAGATGTTCAAATTTTCAAAGTGCTCATAAGATACAGCGTTCAATGTCCAATACAGAATTAGTTTAGATGTTCAAATTAGACTCAGAAACCTGTCGTGCATGCTCATCTGCAGATATTTTACTTCCTTAAAATATCCTCTCTTTCATTAACTTCAAGAAGTTGCTTCTACAGCTGTGCTTCTACGGAAAGTGTTGCCCAAGATGCTATTACTCTTTAACACCTGCTAAGGATTGTGTGAGGATAAACTGTTACCAATTCTAATGCAACAAATTTCTATTATTAAATTTCATTTCATTAAGGAAACATAAACAAAAGTTGTTTTGTTTTCTCTGGGAATCAAATCAAATCAATTCACTGCATTGGGTAGCAAAAAGAAACACCATGCTACTTCAGAAAGCCAACAGCCTAAAGGCTGTTTGGAATGATTTCTTGGATTTCAAGAAATGCCTTTACAAATAAATCACTGTGGTAGTGCTCTTGTTCATAAATATCTGAATTGATTTTTTTAAAAAAAGAACTCAACGTCTCTGGGAAGTGATGCTTGGGAGGACAAAGTGGAATGGGAATCTCTCAGTGGAGATCTTGTAGGCTCACATTTCAAAACCCTCTCTGTCCCCATTAGTTCCAGTTGCTAGAGAGTTTAAATGGACTTCCCATCAGGTGTTACATTTAACTCCCTCCCCCGCGCTTTTAACACCACTCTGTTCGTCAGAGGACAACTTGGTCTAAACAAATATGACTTGAATACAAGATTGTGTCTTGATAAGCCACATAACAGACTTTTTGCATGCTACAGTGAGACAACAAGTAGTGAGTATCTCACAAATTAATACCATCCATAAGGTAAACACACAAAAATATCAATAGAACTTCATTTGGGGAATTAATGTGAGAACTTTTTGGAAATAAGAACAGCTATAAATGTGAGATAACATATACTGGAATTACTTACTATATCTTTACATTAAAGTATAAGTGGTTTTTTTATTTGGTGAAACACATTTTGAGCATTTACAATGTTCAGCACCATTTAAATAAGGGCAAAAATTTGCACATTCTCTATGCACTACAATCTTCATTACTAGAAGCATTTAACTAAATGTTTAGGTCCGTACCTATTAAATAAAGCCCTTCCTTAAGTGCAGGTAAATATAGGGATACTTAAGCATGTGGTTAGGTCCTTTTCTCTGTTGTAATTCAGCTTTTTAAATCTAAAACACCTGTTGATTTTGTGCAGAGGCAATTAGCTCTTACTAATTGTAATACTTCTTGTAACCTAATGAGAAGATAAGGTTCAGTGTGTTTAACACATGAGAACAGGTCGAAGTCACGTTGTTGAGGGCAGCCAGGTTGGCATGGTCTGGCAGGGAATAAGGTGTCCTGGTCTCAGCATTTCTCTGGGAGTCTTTCACCTGTAAATCCTGGGTGTAAGTGAGGCCAGCCTCTACAGCAGTTGCTGTCTCTCTGGGCTGCAGCCCAGCAAGAAAAATGAGTTGGTGGTCTCAGCCCAGGTGGTTGTGCATGGCAAAAACTCCCAGCACTAACTGATACCCTTGATGACAGAAATCATGTTAGAAAGAACCAGGACAAAAGTAAGCAGGAAAACACGTAGGCCAGCACAGACCCCTATTCTCTTCTTAACAGGAGGGGAGGTATAAAAGCAAAAGTTTCTGGAGCAAGTTATACAAACAAGTCAGCATGGTGGGAATCAACGACAGTGTCCAGGCTGTATTTTTTAGATGCACAGTGCCCAAAGAAAACCTGAGATAATTTTCTATACAAAGTAAAATTTTGCACAAGGAGAGAAACAGAACACAGCACACTGCACAGGCAGTCTGGAGATAACGAACATTCCCTAACTGAGACACAGATGCCAAAAAAAAAAAAACAACCAAAACTGGTCCTGTGTTCCTGTGGGACAAAGAGGGAGCTAGTGACCTGGTAACTTGCCCCTACATCACTTAGAAAATCTTCATCACATATTAAAGCAAAAGTTCACGACTACTAACTTTCACCCCCACTGATGTCTTGTGACTGAATCTGTAAGTACGGCCAAAGTCTAACTCTCAGTCAATTTTTCTTAAATTCACCAGATGGCAAAAATATGGAAAGAGAAAGCAACAGCAATTTTCCTTTTCCCACCATTGAGGGAGAAGGGAAACTGTTTTCTTTAATCAAATTTTGATCAAAGAAATAAAATGTTTATGGCTGATTGTGCAGGGACAGTCAAAATGGAAAATACTAGCTACTAGATAACCCTCCAGCTCCTCATCTAGCTGGAGCACGTGTTACCACATTGTCTCATGCACATTCCCAGCCACCACTAATTAATTACTTGCAGACCTGCCTCCTTTTCCTAAAAATGACAGATGCCGGTGGTCTGCCCAGATGCATCCCCCTGCTGTCACAGCCTCCTCCTGGCCGCCCCTGCGGGAGGCTGGCCGGCATGGTGAGTTAAGCCTAAGATTCTCAGGATTCCCCACAACATAACAGCAATGCTTCAGAGAGTTTCTGCAGCTTGTTATGGAGGATGCCGTGCATGGTTACTAGAGGGTATATTTTCATTTAGTCTGAATGCTTGGCACCCTCAGACCGTCAACAGAAGCCTAGGTAGAAATAGATGGAATTATTTACTTACACTTCCAGTGATGAAAATGATTAGTCAATTAACTTTACTAATATACGGTATCTTGTGAGAAGATAAGATGTCAACAAGTGAAGCTAGCCTCCAGGTCATGTCAAAAAGAACAAGCCCTCTGGCATTTATGCTGATTTATGGTGAACTATGGCAAGTATGTTAATTATGAAAATTCCCGTTTATGTTTACATTCGTGCATTTTTCTTTGGCTATTTCTGATGATAGGCAGATTAGTGCAGCTACTTATAATTTGATCTCATTGACAAGAAAGCATTCAGCCTAGAGAGACGTCCTGCAGCCCCAGCTTCCTGCACTACAACAGGCTGAGGGCACTGTGTTGGTAAATATTTTCAAGGGGAAAATGGCAGCTAAAATTAAACACAATGACATTACTGGGATCACTGGGGGAAAAAAAAAGAGTACAGATGAAAAAGGTTTATAACATGAGACAGGTTCAATTGGTTATTCAGTTGATTTAAGTAGTCCAGCTGGACAATTATAGACAGCTACCAATTCCATTACATAACCATGAAGCAATGTCTTCATGAACTTCTATTTGTGCATCACTGTATCCATCCCGGATATCTAAATCTCTTTTCAGTTCACTTGTACAGTGTAGCTTCTGGATATAGCCCTGCATGTGTTATACATACCATGTAATATAATTTCTTGGTGTCTCAAACCATGTAGGTGCTTCAAGCTTTCTCCAGATGAATGGCCAGCTCAAGAACAGAACATGGTATGAACATGGACAGCCTGGACCAAACGTTTCCATTCATTTTGTGCAAATACAACTTCACTCTCTAACTGTGCACTTCCACCCTCTTGGGTGGTTTTACTCTCCCTCTGCTAATCTGCTGCTCTCATTCTATCAAAGGAATTGGAGCCCTACAGATTAGGATCAAGAAATAGGTTTGCCTCACACATATCTGTGTGAGTGAAACTGTTTAAGCAATTAATTTTAAAAACACTCTTTGGGTCAAAATTGTCTCAAAATCTCAGTTTGACTCCTAATGTGAGGAGTCCTGCCACAGGAACTCTGTGAACTCTCCATGTCTTTGGTTTCAGCGGGCAGTTTTGGTGAAGAGAATATCCAAGTATTATGCTCTCCAGAGAGTGCATGTTTTAGAGATTTCCTCTGAACATTCATCTTCTGTCTTTGGTGAGAGTCACTCAAAATCTGGTCTCTTCAGAATATCAAGAATCCTTTCAGAAACCGAGGTGATTCACTCCAGCTGATGGCCAACACATAGTCCAGAACATGAGGAGCAACATGCCTACACTTGTCCATATGACCGTAAAACCAAAAAATCCCTATATCTTTCTGACCACTTCTGTGCATCCAGACATCTTGTTTGCTCTGACCACCAGAAGCTGTGGCCTAGCATCAGGAGCAAGCACATTACTTGGACCTGTTCCAGCCTGAGCTACTCTCACACATCTGTGAAAAGGTTAGAAGGGGGTTCAAAGGACAGCCTACCCTAGCATAGCTTACCCTACAGTCAGCTCCAATTTAATTTTGTCCCTTGGAGGCTACCTACAGAAGTTCTCCAGTCACTGTCTTCCCCAGATGTCATCTGTGAACAAAACTGCACATCTCAATGCTCCCAAAGCTTGAATTCACATCTAAACTGTGAGCAGATCCACAAGGGTAAAGATGATGCAAAAAATATCTCTCACCTGAGTGAATCCTGAGTGTTAGTACAGTCACAATTTCTTCAGAGTACAGGAGAATTTCCACAGCAGCTTTCAGATGAGTGAAAGGGAAGAAACAAGGCAACACCATCAGTCTTTGCTTTCTCGTATAGCTGCCACACACTCCAACTAGTGACTTCCTCTCTGCCAATAACTTCACATGATGTACAGCACTTCTGATGGGCCCCTGCGAGCTACTTAAAGATCTGAGACTCTGGGAGAAAACCTGGAAACTACAGGATATGAACCTGTTTTCTTCACCATTTGTTTTCTGTGGATGTCTGTGCAAAAAATTGGAAATCTTTGGAAAAATTTGAAGGAAACCCTTTCGATGTGGAAAAGATAATTTCTCTTGGAAGAAACAGTGAAAAAACCTCTAGTGTCTTTTTCTTAAAGGATATAGCTACTAAACATGAAACAATCAGTGTTCTCTCTATAAAAAATTAAGCCTTTCATATGATGTTACTCCACTGGAAAACTTGCTGTTTTGCATTATTTAAATTCCCCCATTCCTTAGGTCAAATGGCTTAATATGGTGCAGTGTTAGCAATACAAAAATATCTTCACATACATGTTCATGAAGTAAAGCTGAGTATTAGCTATTAGATCAATTTTCATTATTTAAATCCAAAGAACATGTATACAAACATGAAGTTCTTAAGAAGAGGTGATGTAGACAGGTACATAAAAGAGATTACTTTTCTTGCAAAGCTTTAATCTTTTGTATTCTTTAACCAGCAAGGATTAAACACTAGTATTTCCACTATTTCCTAGAAACATAGACTTGGTCTTCTAAATAAACAATACAATTCACATTCTTGAATTTAAGAAAATTTTCTTTTGGTTACAAGTAAGTAGCCCACATCAACATTTCAAACTTCAGTTATTAGAAAACAAATAACTATAAGAAAACCTAAAAAACCTTGGGAAGGGATGTTACTTCCTGGGGCTTCAAAATATCCAGAAACTTTGCACCTCCAACTCTAACTAGAAGCCAGCAGAAATTACCCAGGGCATCAAAACATACTTTAAGTATATTGAACAAATAAACTATTTTGAGCTCTTGGTTTAACTATGTCAAGGTTCAGTTGGTCACACAATATTAGAACATACTGGATACAAGAAGGAGATATGTCCTATTTTATTAAGAAGAGGCTATCTCAGAAGTTCAAATGAAAGAGGAATCCAGAATTTTTCCTACTCTGGAAGAAAAACTGCTATTATCAGAATAATATAATTTAGATATTTCCCTCCTTTTCTTGATAGAAAGGAAGAAAACAAGACTTAAGTCACTGATTCTGGGAAGTACTAGGCCTTATCTGCTGTTAGGAGTATCTACACAAATCACTTGGAGGCATGTCCCTGCAAGTTGCTGTGTTCCTGCCAAATTACAGAAACAATGTGAAATGAAAAAAGTGAGCTCATCATATGAGCTTATTTATCCTACGGGATCCCGAGAACAGTAGCGTGGAATGGGAGTAAGGGCTGAGGAAGTACCCATCATTGGGTATGGTCAGAGTCTTATTAAACACCCCATTCTCACCCCCTCCATGGGTAAGTCACACACAGTAAGTCATGGGGTCAAAATCTTCAAGAGTCGGTAGGGTATGTCTGTTTTAAAATCCCTTCAGAGGTAGCTTAATGGCAGAGACTGCAGGACACAGTCTTTGGATACGGGAGGAGTCTCAGCAATAAAAGGAGTGAGATCTTCCATAGAAACCAGCCTATGCAACCTGTCTCAGTAACGGCCAACCAACACTAAATGAAATAGTCTCTGCTCTGAGTACGCAGCTCATTTCATACACAGCTGGCCATGCGGCAGTGTGTACATGTGGGTGTGCATGCACATATACTACTTTTAAGATATCAAAACAAAAGCCCTGCACTGCATATATCCTGGAGGAAAAGATGAGAGAACAGATGTGGGATAAGTGTTAATTGCATTGCATGTATACACACTTTAAGATACTAAGTCTAATGACGAACATTGTAACTGAATCCATGGGGAGCATAAAGAAATGATTTTTTGCATAGTACCTCTAAACTGGAATTTGTGTAATCAAACTCTGTAAAACATGTCTACATCTGCCTGCTGCTAAGATCAGCACCAATACAAACATAAAGCAAACTATATTAATCTCTGTGTATACTATGGCTGAGACCAGGTTGCTGGTTATTCATTTTAGAAGGTGAAATATGTCATGCAATGACATTATGCTTTGTAGATCTAGCTCAGCAAAATGTCTTATCTTTAAATATGGGCGTCAGCCCCAAGGAAGTTTGCTCAATGAAAACCTTGCATGATTAGTGCCAGAAATGAGAGAGTTTCAGAAGCATAAGATACTCCTGTAAAACCGTAACTTTGCAGACAGCTACAGGCACCTCTCCTCTTACACAGGCAGCTGCTCCAGAAATACTCACTTGTTTACTGCCGGCAGCGCGCACACAAGGAGCGCACGCCTCCGCTCCTGCACCACGTGTAACGAGGGGGTGCGTGCCTGCCGAATCCTCCTGTCAGCAGACCTTCTCGCTTTTCACTTCTTCTTTGTTACTTTGCAAACTCTCAGCTATTTTTTCCCAAGCCGTAACACGGGGGCTCTTAGAGATTATTGCCATTCTCCCCCTGCCTGTCAGACACCTTGTTTCCAAGTATGGTCACTATGAGGAGACTGTCGCTTGGAGCCTTTGTGGAAAATTAATGGCAGACAGGAAAGGGCAAAAAAGACAGGACAGATGGCTCTGTCACCACCAGCAGCCTGATGCCATGAGAGCTCTTCAGTGCCTTTGCAAATGCCACCCTGTTCCACAGACTTACTCTGAAGTTGATCCAATCGCAACCTTGGCAGCTGTCTTTCTTCTTTTTTATAAGATTTTTCCTTGTCCTTTGACTTCCCAGGCTCATCCACGTGGCAAATTCAAAAGGTCAGTTTTTAAATTAGTGACCGGGTGCTGATGATCTGAAATACTGTTTAACTATAAGGGTATTGGCATCTTGCTAGAAGGGGTGTTGAATAGTGTTGTTAATAGGTCTTGTTTACTAGTTGGTTAAAATCCAAATCGAGTCAGCTGAGACTCGAAGATGCAATGAGTAAACTTCTAATTCAAGCAGGCAAATCGAGTGATGTCACCTCACTTTATTCTTTAAATGGCATTCTGTCTAGTTTCACTTTCACAGTGAAATACACACCCGTAGTATATTGGGTGCATGTTGGAAGCACAAAGAGATGCCTCCTCCTTACGTGAGTGGTGCCCGACAAATTGTGGTTTGATTTATATACATACAGAAGTAAAGATATGACTAGGATTTTATGTGTTTAAAACATGATGAACTTCAACAGGGTAAATAAATTGTGATGTGACGCCAGGCTATAGTCAGAGTCTGCAGAGAGAAAGCTAATCCCTCTGAAGAAGCAGGGCTATGATCTCTAGTTATGTAGTTTCACCTTATATGATTGTAATTATAGGAAAATTCTACATTGCACACATCCCAAGACATCTTGCTATTATGCAAGAACAATTCATATGCTTTCAAAGCCTGGGATGTTTATAGATGTTTCCAGGTTTGGACAAAAGTTTAAAAATAGAGAGTTAGTCTGATGACCAGAAGAGCTAGTGCTATGGTATGATTTGGGGTGGAACCATTCGTCTAAATGTGAAAATGTGTCACTGTCCCAAATCTACAGACAGTATTTAACTGTGGCCACTTGATACGAAGAAATATCTGAGATCTTGCATACTACGGGAACATTAATGAGAATTCTGAGACAGAACTAAATAGACCATCACTCACAAGCCTGTATCTCTGGAGGTACAGGCTGTTTCCCTACCACCAGGTCTAGCCCCTACTTCACATCAACTTTTCCCATGATGGTTTTGTGTTGCACAACAACACTACTGAGTACTGGAAAGTTTTTTGCTAGAAACCTAGCTACAGATTGCTTTCAGGAAGACAGCTGACACCCACCTTCTGCAGTGGAAAGAGCTTCCTCTGTTGCCGTGAATCTAGGGTGCGGTTGCCATCATACCACTATATCATGGTCAGTGATGTCATTCCTTATGGAGAAGCCTGCTATTCTACATGCTCAATCAAGTTAATTTTGTTTGCCTAATCAAACTTACCTTCAAGCCTGATTCAATGAAAAGTTAAAATGTTGAAGTTTTAATATAAAAGGAAGTTCCAATCTGGGCAAAAAAATTCTCATTCTGTAGTGATGGGTTGCAACTATGCCTGAATATAAAGTGTTAAAAGAATTTACATGGCCTGCCTCAAAAACAGCCCTAAAATAACTGAGCTTGCTACACTGTAGTACCAAAGCTGCTGGCACCAAGCTTTGTGTCAGTAATACACATATCAAAGACCACTCTGTGATAATCTACAACAGGGGTAAACTCTGGATTTATGAAAACAGAAGCTGAATAAGGTATGCAGGATTTTAGGAATATTAAGGATGAAGCACTCTTCCTATCATATTGATTAGTTTTCTAGATTCACCTGAATCGTTCAGTATTCCTCCTGTTTCTTGGAGCAAGAAGAAGATATAGCTGAGTTACACTGTTTCCATCAGACCTCACTTCTGCGTTGAGTTCAGACAAATTAGAATGAACATGAATTTTATCATTTGCATTTACAAAGCAAGACAGTGTGCTGTGACAATGTTGTTTGTGGGGTTAAACAGGGAAAGGTGCAAGTCACCGTATGCCAACATGTCTGTTTAGCAAAAAGCTGGTCCTACCTTGTCTAGGCTTTGCTGATATGTCAGTGCTCAGTGACACATGTATGGTCTTCAGCTGCAAAGCCTACTGTAGACATCACTATTGAATCTGTTGCAGCCTAAATGGGGTCCCTTAGTCATCCACTTCTAGGTCTGGAAACGTCTTGTTCATTTGTTCTGCATCCTGTCCTAGCTTTAATAAGAGCCTGAAAGCAAAAAGGGTTGCTGAGAAGGCCATAAAAACATTACTACTCTCCAAACATTACTGTCTCTCTTCACTCTTGGTAGTGGACATGCTGTGTTTGGGAGGTGGCATGCTTCAGCCCTTCAAGAAGGAACTTGGAATTAACATGTGTGTATACTTTCCTGTCTTATATTGATGAAGCAGGCAGCTTCCACACTACCTAAATTCACTGAGGGTCATATTTGTCTTTTCCAGGACAGAACAGAAATATCTGCCTCCCTCTCCTGATAAATTTGTCTCATGATCTCTATTCCTCTCCCTTCCCATTTGTCTTGAAACTTTCCCTAACACATTATCCCTACTCCCCCTCTTTAACTGGTCAAACATTCTGTCCTTTGTCCAGTTAGATGACTCGGCTTTCTCGAACCTGGCCTAGATTTGGCATTTCTACTTGTTGTCCTTGCAGAATATAATAATAAAGTGTTGTCAACGGAAGATAAGCACAGGACTTTTGTTTTTGCAGATGAAAGCTTTTGTTCGTGTTTCCACCTGCTAGATATCACTTAGACATATCAAAATGCATCAGATAACTTCCCACTATTACATTTCCTTGGCAACAAATGCTATAATCCCTACAGGAAAGTTATGTAATGATGAATGGGAGGGAAAGGCCCCCTGTAATCTCCATGGGAGGACAGATACTGTGCCATTCCTTAGCTTCTCTTTCCCATCTCAGAAGCATGGCCTCCTTGGCCATGTTCAACTGTTATTCTGTGTTCCCTCTTTATATGGCAATAATTATATGTCACCTCCATGAGATCTCACTGGGATAGTTGTAGAGGGAGTTTAGGAATATCAGGTTCTTAGGTAATGCACAAAGCCTAACATGAGGTTACTTTTTCCAGGCTGCACGCCTGAGTCAGGTGCTTGGTGGAGGGTAACTAAATAACATCTGCCAACTTAGAGAGCACATGTTTGAAAAACAAAGGTGTTGTTACAGTAAGCCCTGAGTTATTTGCACGAAATTGGAGTGCGGTTCCTCCTCTTGGCAGCAAGCGAGCTTTGGTGCCTACATGAGGCCTAATGAAAGAGCAGGGTAAACAAAAAAATACTTGTGATTTTAATAATTTCATTTACCAGATAGATGAGGAAAGAACATTTTTCCAGAAAAAGTCTCAAATTTGAAGATGAGACTATATCCCAGGGTTGAATTTCGGTGGCAACTCCTCAGTAGTAATGTGTGGATAACAAGCTCAGGATCAAGACTGTCTGCTTCAGGAACAGACAAACTCATTGCAAATGGGGAAATGGAACTCCCCTATTTCACAGGTTCAGTTGGGAAGGAATTATCTGCTCTCTGGACTGCAAGCTAGGAAGGAGAGTGCTGCCTGGAGGTATAGACAGAGTGGACCAAGAAGAGCTCCAAAAACAGATGGGGGTAGACACATTACATCTCCCCATCCACCATGTCTCCTGTTTTCTCCTATTTCCTACTACGCTCAATCTTTTGGAAGAGCAACTCAAGTGCTGCCAGTGTTGTGGATCAGAGATTAAAAAATGGATAAAGTCTCTCCATCTTTACTGCTCCAAACTTTACAAGTAATACAACGAGCTACTGCTAGCTGCAAACTATTAGGAGAGAGAAAGAGATCACACCATCCCTTTTTTCTGCTAATAAAAAATCTGTATTAAAAAGTAGAGACCAAGACTCTGCTCCTCATGGAATGCTGTCCAGTGGATCAGAAGTGATGTGCAGGCAAGGATAGTTATGTCTCAGTGACAATGGACCCATTTCAATGCCTACCTGTCAGACAACTGCTTTGTACTCACTGTAGTCTGGGAAATGCTGAAAGACAAGGGTTGCTCAACGTAATGCCTCCCAAACACCTCATCAGATACACTGTGTTGCAACAAAGGGCTGGAAATAATAAGGCCGTGCACAGTGACTCAGAAGTCATGTTCAGGACCAGCAGTAGTAGAGAGGAGGGGGAAAGAATGGGGCTGCTGCATGGGGCTGGAAGAGGAAATGTTAGAAGCCAAGGCTATATGAACATGGCATGCATATGGCCTTAGTAATAGAGGATGCTTGGAATAGACAGGATGCCTAGAAGGACGCAGGCAAAGTGTTGGATAACAAGTTATTAAATGTCAAGTGAATGAAAGTGTCTTCTACATCAGGTCAGGTGAGTGTTAATTAATTCTGCCTATGTTAGCAAAATGGGTAAGAACTTACAGCTGAAAAGCAGTTACATGAGGCTGAACAAGATGACTGTATTGCCTGAACATTTAGAGACATGGTTTGCATGATGTTATGGTTACACTGCCTTTCTGAGGCACATTTAGTTCTTATGAACAATAAACAAGAAAACTACCCAAACTGTCCCTGATCATGCTGGGGAGAGTGTGGAGGTGGAGGGTGGAGATAAGGATGTTGGAACTACTTGATCTTCAAGACTGCTTCCAACCCAAGCCATTCCATTCTATTGTTCTAAAACCATGGAGACTACTATTGAAATTATAGAATAGTAAATTAATGCAATAAGAATATTGACTTGAATGGCTTCTATAACAGAGTAAAATGAATCAAAAGGCAAAGCTTACATAAAATGTAGCATGTATGT